ATTTATAAGATTATGAAGAATGGGGAGAGAAAATCAAGAGATTTAGAATATATAAGGTGCATAAAAGATGAAGAAGGAAGAATTTTGGTCATAGATGGCGATAAAAATATATGGGAGACCTACTTTTCCAAACTTTTCAAAGATAGAGCGGGTTCATCTAGTAACTTGGAGGATTTAATAACTTATGAAGGAGAACAAAATTTATCATTTTATCAAAGGATACATAAGAGCTTGCAAAGGAAGCTCGTGAGAAAATGGTAAATGGTAAAATCAATAGACTTGATTGTATCCTTATTAAAGTCTGGTTTAGGTAAAGAAGGGGTGTGATGGTTAACTAAGTTATTTAATGAGATCTTATAGTCCAAGAACACGCCTGATGATTGGAGGAGAATGATCTTAGTTCCTATTTATGAAAATAAAGGGAATATTCAGAATTGTGCTACCTACAGATGGATTAAACTTATGAGTCAGTTAGAAGATTAGGTTGACATTGGAGATTGATATTTTTGAGAATTAGTTTGGCTTCATGCCAAGTAGGGCAACTACAGAGGTAATTTATCTACTAAGGGGATTAATAGAAAGATATCGCTATAAAGGTAAAGATTTACAAATGGTTTTAATTAATTTGGAAAAAAAGCTTATGACCATATATCTATAAAAGTACTTTAGAAAGTCTTAAAAAAGAAAGGAATACGAGTTGCATGTATTAGAGCTATAAAAATATATATAACGGTAACAACTAGTATAAGAACGTCCAGTGATAAAGCAAAGGACTTTCTTAAAAGGATTGTACTCCATCAAGGATCATCTCCAAATGCATGCTTTTCACGGATGATATAATTCTTATAGTGGAGACAAGAAAAGAGATCAACTGTAAACTTGAGTTATGGAAGAGGACATTAGAGTTAAAAGGTTTTCATTTAAGTTGGAGTAAAACAGAATATTTACATTGTAATTTTAATAAGAAGTTAGCCAATAGTAATCTAAAAGTGAAATTAGAACATTAGATTATACTTCAAGTAGAAAAGTCTAGATATTTGAGAACTTTTATTCAAAATAATGAGAAAATTGATGGGAATATTGCACATATGATACAATTTAGGTGGTTTAATTAGAGAAAGTTAAAGGAGTTATTTGTGATCATAAGGTACCTAATAAACTTAAAGGAAAGTTTTATCATATGACTATATAACTAGCTATGTTATATGGTAGTGAATGTTAGGCTCTAATGGAACAGCAAGAGCATAAAGTTGGAGTAGCAGGGATGAGAATGTTAAGATGGATGTTTGGACATACTCATAAAGATAAAATTCAAAATGAGCACGTATAAGAAAAAGTGGGCATAGCATCTATTGAGAGAAAAATGGTAAAAAATCATTTGAGATAGTTCAGACATGTACAAAGAAAACCATGGGTTGCACCAATAAAGAGAGTGTAACAAATAACTTTGAGTTTTGTTAAGAGGGGTAAAAGAAGGCCAAAGAGAATGCTTTCGGAAATGGTTGACCATGACCTATTAGTTAATAACATTTTTAAAAGTTTGCTAAATGGTAAAGCACAATGGCACTATACAATCCATGTAGTTGATCCCACCTACTAGGATAAATGCTTGTTGTTGTTTGGAATTGATTTGGTTTCCTATTTTCAACTTGTGATTTTGTTACTTTGGGGAAAAAATTTGTAAATACTAAAATTATGATATTTGATTATAATGGAGGTTTGAAGGTGATGTTTGGATTTGTAGGTTGAATATAAATATATCCTTAAGTGGTCATATAAGAAATTAATTACTGCAAAGTTCATTGATAATCAAACAAAGAATAGTCTTAGTTCTATTGTCAATGGATTTTGTAGTAATTGATTTTTTTGTGTGAGACTTCAATATAATTATTTTAAATAATTTTTGCTAGCTCAATAAATACAAGAATGATTAAAAAATTAAAAAAATAATTTATAGGTAAATGTTAAATTAGCTAGAAATACAAAGGGCTATCAAGAGCATCCTGTGAACTGACTATGTAGGGCTATATTTTTTTTAAAAAAATATTCTGGCACCTTGTTTCAAAAGGGGCAAAAAATAAGATAAAAATTGAAGCCCTAGTATCGTGATCTTCTACTTCTTTGCATCACACCGTTATAACTCCGAACTTATGGCTCTCATTTCTCTCCTTCTTTTGATCGTAGCCGTAGCGTTCTCGCTTGTACCGTGCAGTCCTAATCTCATAGCATTCTCATCTGCCATCTGCTTCACCTCTGACAGCTTTGACCTTCTTAGCATTTTATCGGTCTTAGTATTCTTGACAGTAGGATTGTTGTCATTGGTTTTTGGGTTTGTAGGTCTTAGAGCAGGAAGCTTCTCTCCCCCTCCCACCTCGACTCTAGTTTATACTTGACTAATCTGTTTATGCACAATTACTTGCTTATTTTCATCAATGATTACTCTGTATTCTAGTAATGTGGGGCTTAAGTGGCTTATCGATAACTATGCTCTATTCTGCTTCATAGATAAATAAAGAAGGAGAAGAAAAACTCTAAAATTAATACCTTTATGTTTATTATAGTTTAAGCGCACCCACTTCATTTATTTGAGATGAGTTAAAACTAGTTCAAAGTTAGGTCATTATACAACTACGAGCATTTTAGTTTTGTCACAAACATCTGCTCTATTTGATTGTTGAATGTTCTGCTTTGATGTTCTTTATAAGTTGAATTATTGGTTTTCAACAAAATTCAATGTGTTTGGTGCTTTTTATTTATGGTTGCTGGATCACATAATGAAAATCTAACTTAAAGATTGGAATCCCTAAAATTTCCTCTTTCTCTCTCTCTCAACTAATATCATCATCTCTCATTTTGTTCTTGGTTTATGTCCATATCATTTCCTCAATGGCGTTCATTTGCGTGGCAGTTCAATGGATGTTGTTGGTGAAAAAGTATGTTAAGAAATATCAACCTTAGTAGCGTTGTTGAATATAGATGAATGTAATGAGTAGTATTGTGTTTTTATTTAAATTATATTATTTTATTATGACTAGTTTAAGTTTGGGTTAAACCCTTGACCCTTGACTTTGATCGGTCTAAGTCTTCAGTACCTATCTATTTATAGATAAGTCTGTTGTATGAGATCTCTAATTTTTCCTTCTTTCTAATTTCCCCTTCCTCTGCCTTACCTATTGAATCACATCAGTACCTCTTTTCTAATTGAGAGTAGAGCATAGTGCCTCCTTCCATTGTCCATTATTAATTTGAAGCTTTGAAACTGATAGTGGAGCACGTTGCTGTTCGTTTTTGCCATTCAGATTACTTGCAGTTTGCACTTGCTATTTAGATCAAGGTTTATATTGTTGTCTACGTCTCTTGCATTCTCAAGGTTTAATTTACTCTTCCTTACACTCTGGTTTGATTTTTGTTCTGAGATCTGGAAAAATTAGATCTAAGGTTCAATTTCTGCTATGATTTTTCTTATTAATGATTGAATCCATATGCCCTAGTTTTATGAATGTCTTCTGCTTGAATCATTCAAGCTTTGGTGTTCAAATTTTGACTTCTTTTCTCTGATTGAAGCTCTCAATGTCTTCTGGTTTGATTTTAGTTTGACTTTAAATTTTATTAGATGAAAATTGAAATATTCAGCCCTACATTGTCTACTGCTGCTATAGCCACGAATCCATCCTTGTGTAAATCCTTGTTTTAATAATATAGCTTCAACGTGACATGTGATTAAATGTCATTTAAATCCTTCTTTATAATCATAACAAGCTACATGGAATGCTAACTCAAACTAATGTAAGTAATAAGCGCTTTCGTTACATAACTATAGGTTTAGTGCTTGATTTTTAATCCTTGTGCAAATTGAAGTTTTGGAGTACTAAGTTCTCTAATCACTTTTGATACTAAGTTATAGTGAACAGAAACAATACAATTGAATCTGCTTCTTCCTTGAGGACCTTAACCTCAACAACAAATTTATGGCATGTTGTTGATTGTTCTTTTGATAGTCGTATTGTGTTGCTGCTTTCATTGGTTATGTTGTTTTGCTGTTTTGTATTGTTTTATAAACCATTATTAGTATGACCATTATCTTGACTTTAGAGGCTGGATTTTAAATGTAACTTTTTAAAATAATTTTTATTTAGATTTACTATAGGTTTTAATTTGATTTTTAAAGCCTACTATATATATGCATTGAGTAGGTTTCAAAGTCTTCTAGACTAAAGGTAAGATGCCTTTTTAAAGGTCTACATATAAAGTTGGGCAACATTGTGCTCTTTTTTATTTTGCATGGGCAATATTGCGTAACCTGATTGTTTAATACACCTTGTTCTCTTGAGAGAATAATTTGAGGCCATAAATGCCCTTTAACCTTAAAATTTATATTGATGTTTTTTGCTCTTCCACAGTTAGTATGTTGGTATATTTGTAAAACAGCATAGGCATTAGTTTTAGTAACAAAATTTTATATTTGAACCCATGTGAATGTGAAAAAAAATGGTAAGGTTGCTTGAAATAATTTTGAAGGAATGGAAATGATTTGATACTTTAAAATTTTTTATGGAAAAAAAAAACTCAAAAGTATGAAAAAGACAATATCGTCCTTCTAGAAAATAAATAATAAAAAATAGTGTTGTCAAAAAATTAAAAAAAAAGGAAAAAAAAAAAAGGTTTCTTGAATCAATTGGCTTAGTAAGGCATCTTCACTAGAGTATATGGAACAAATTAGAATGGTATGATATTGACTGCATATTTCAAAGATTTTAATCTAATGGGACATATAGGGACCCGCCTATAACTATGGGAATAGCAATGAAGGATTGAAAAATCCAGTCTGGGTTATGATATTTAAATGATTCAAAATAACAACATATCTGATCTGATAAGTTTTATTTGAAATTCCTTTGATAAAGAAAATTTTTATCTAACCATCGCATATGCTAACTCTGACAATATAAATGTGAAATTTCCTTGGTTTTTACTAATGTGATGCACATATCAATACAGATATGATGATCCCACCTTTATCAAGGCCTCTAAGGATAATAGATTTTCTCAAACCGTATGTACAGAAAATTCATTTTACAAATAATTACGTGAGTGCTCTAGTAATCCACACACCAACTGCTACTATAGCTTGTTCTGCAAGCTCTCAGGAGAAAGCATTAAGGTCAAGTTTGGAAACAACCTATAATGTAGCTGCAGCTGTGAAGATTGGGAAGATACTAGGTGAACACCTTTTGCTCAAGAATATAACTGCTATTAGTATTCACTTAAAGAGAGAATAGAAGTATCATGGTAAAGTTCGAGCTATTGTTGATTCTGTCAGAGATGCTAGTGTTAAATTGCTCTGAGTTATTCTCGTAGATATTTAGTTGAAGCTTGGAGAGAGTATCCTTCTGGACCTTGTATTGGGAAGCTTTTATATCATTTTAGCATAAATTCATAACAATAATTAATCCAAGATGCTCACTTTTATTCCATTTAGTTTTCTAACATTATTATAATAAGAAAGTTAAACGTGCTAAATTAAGTTTCTATGATAACATTGTTAAGTATTGGTAATTAGAAGTTACGACCCTTGATGGTTGCATGCTTGTTCCACTACATTTGATCGAGAATTCATAAGCTAACTTGCTTCAAGGCACAAATATTTATACTACTTTAGGCGTATGCATTTTAATCATAGCATGTGTGAATGACATTCATTGAGCATCTCTTGAGTCTTTCTGGGCATCTCATTCTCTCAGTTTCATCTAAAATTGATAGTGTTAATTTAAGGCAGGTAAAGATAGTGCATGTGGCAACAGCTTGAGTAGATGATGAGGACAATTTGCATGGGTCATATACATATTAAACATTTTCTTTGTCAAAATTGACATAATACATGAAAATTAGGACAATAAAAGTCCAATCGTCTGATTTTTTTAGGTGATGATGTATTTATCCATAATGAGTAGATCTCATTCTCATTCCTAAGCACTATTCCTTTTGGGGCCTTGATTTGCATTTATGTGATCCTTCTTCTTTCTTTACCTCAAATTTTATGGCTCATGCAAGTCTATGGAAGAGATTGAGTGGCTTTCTTCTTCCTGCCCTGATCTAAGTACGAGTTGGTTATTGATCTACCTGGCTTCTTGGTCAAACGTTGCTTTTGTTGATGCAATTTTATGTACCTGATTTATCCAACTCTATTAGCAATGATCAAAGAAACTCATCCTTTGAGAATGATGGAATTAACTGGGGTGTCCACCAAATGGACTAGATTTAATGTTGCGGCCTAGGTAGGTAAAAATGCAGACAAGCTCTTAAACCTATTTTTGTTTTTTATGAGTTGTGATTAGAGATGGAAAAATAGGCGAGCCTAGTTTCCTAAATTTTGACCGAATCTTGAGACCTAGCATTTATTGAAAGGGATTAGAGCTAGGCCTAAAAGCTAGTTTCAAATAAATAAATAAATAAATATAAAAAAATTAATATTGTAATATAATATTATTCTTTGAAAAAATAATTTAATTCAACATCATAATATTTAACATTATAATTTAACTTTAAAATTCAACATAAATTAAACCAAGGTCTTACATCTTCTAGAAAATAAATAAAAGATTTAAAAGTTTAAATATATGTTAGTTGATGTCATTGTAATTTACAATAAAGTTTTAAAAACAAAATAAATGAGGCATATCGATATAATCTTCACAGAATAAGATGAGAGATTATTATTTTTAAATCAAATTAAAATCTTGAAAGCAAGCATCAAATTGAAATTTCAAACATTCACTGCCTTAAAAAAAGTCTATTCTGAAAGATGAATTACTTAAGAGTAATAGAGCCAAAAAAGCTAAAGTAATAGAACACCGAGAGGGAGACATTAAGTTAAGAGACGCTGAGTCAAGAGATGAGTCGAGAGATGGAGAATGTCAAAGCACGAGTAGAGCGACAAGAGGGGGAGGTTGAGTTGAGAGATGAAGAAAGTTAGAGAACTTAGAATAATCAAATGCTTAGGGTTTTTTCTCATTTGCCAAGCAGTACTTTCCAAGATAGAAGAGAAAAAAAGAACAGGGCTTAGTGGGTTGTGCCTAGAAGCTCAGTTACTATAAAAATTCCTTATTTTTTAAACCTGAACGCTTATTTAAATAGGCCCTTCAGGCCCTCATTCCTGACTTTAACTATGATTGAATTCGAATGATAGAAATCCTTGAAAGTTTAGGAACATTTTAATTCTTTTGATGATAATCAACGGCAGGACCACTAGAATGTATTTCATGACTCTCCTTGTTCTATTGTTTCTCAGATAATGGGAATGGAAATGTGACCTCCATACACTATTTGATAGGGAGAAAATTATTTTTTAGAGAGGAAAAGAAAAATGCACTTATTTCATTTAGATACATTTCCTTTTCCTTTTTAGAAAATACTTTTCTGTTTAGTAAGTACATTCTTATATTTTGAATGAGATATTCTCTCAAAAAATTTGTTCAATTGGCAATGAAGTTTATGATCTAGATTCTTGAGATCATGCCTTGCCAAGGTCCTATTTTCAAGGTTAAGGTTATACCAGAGACTTTTCTCTCCTCTAGTTCTATATGAGGTCGTAGATTTTCATGACAAAATGAAAGACATTTCTCTTCTCTATTTTTTTTTCTTTTAATATCTAAAACCTTCTTAAACTTTAGGCTAGTTGCATATTACCACCTCCCTATCTTTAAATTTTAAATAGTGGACTTTAATGTTTCGCATTTCAAATTTTTAATCATGTTATAACTTCACTGCCATTACAATTACCGTTAAAGTTAACAATTTATCATGTGCATGTTTTTTTTATTTTTTTAATTACATGCTATGTCATATAAAAAGAATACTTAGAACTTCATATGTAATTTTAAGTATTTTATATTTTAAATTGTGATTTTAAAATTGAACGGACTATTTTTCCATTTCCATATTAAGACTGGTAGCAACCTTGTATTGTTGTATATTGTCTGCTTCCTTAAGTATCGTCTACCAATACCTTACATCAGCTTTCTCTAGTATTATCATCTAGGGTTATGAAATTGTGATCACCGAGAAAGTAAAAGAGCCGGCTGATAAGTATTCTAGTGACCTTTCTTTTGGTTGACCTTTTCAAATTTTGCAATATATGTATTCAATATTATAAATCTTATTTTAATAAAGATGTAAGCTAAAGCTTGAAGAGTATAAATAGAACATACTAATCTAGGCAACATCAAGCTTATCTCCATGTAAGAAAGTGGTGGCAAAGATTATCATTAGGCCAACTTGGTGGCCAACTTGTGCAGTGAGATTGTAAAAACATAGAACTTGATGGTAAGCATGGTGGATTTCAACTTCTATTTAATTTTGGCCTAACCTATTTGATGGATCCTATGACACGGATGACATAGCATTAATGACAACAAAGCTTGAGAATGGTAATCATGAGCATGGTGACATGGAAGGAGCCCAATACTTTCAATCCAACATACCTAAAGACCCATTACAATATATTGGAGGTCCAATGATAAGAGCTCGAACTAAAGCCATGAAGCAAGACTTGTTCAGTCATGTGCAAGAAGTTCAAGAGCTTGGAGAGCATTGAGGCACTCCTCTCAAGCCCAAAGGAGAGCATCTATACGTGTATAATATGCTTTAATTCAAATAAATGAAATTAATTAAAAAAATAATCAAAGATGCTTTAATTAAGAAAAACAATCCCACAACATAAATTTAATTGAACTAAATTAACATACTTTAATTTCAAAACTAAAGTCATATAGGGATATTCTCCCATATCCCTTCATGGTGATCACTTCTTATGGCATGTTCATCATCTACTTCATCTACCACATCCAAAATTGGTAGCCCACTTAAGAAGTTAAGAGTTTCAGAAATATCAAAATTTGATTCATGATCGTCATTACTATCAATCATTCTTTTTCCTTTAAGTGCTATTGACCAATTTTTATTTGCTGGATCCGTGACATAGAAAGCTTGTTTAGCTTGGTCTGCCATAATAAATGGCTCATCTCCAAAAGTTAGTTTTTTAAGATCAACCATTGTAAATCCAAACTTATCATCACGAATACTATTGACGTCAACCCACTTGCATTTGAAAACAGGAACTCTAAATTTTGTATAATCAACCTCCCAAATCTCTTCAATAACCCCAAAGTAAGTCCTGGATGCTAGTTTAGGTTTCATATCTTTTGAACTAGAAAAGTGTATGGCTTCAACCATTATCATAACTCCACTATTTTACACCGTACTCTTCTCATCCAAAGACTTTGTATAAAAGGAATACCCATTAATATCATAGGCACTCCAACATATAACATCAAAGTTAGGACCTCCAGCCAACCATTTAACTGTTTCAGAAACACCACTTTCATTCAAAATTTTCTGCTTGAACCAATTCACAAAAGTCCTATTATGCTCTTTCAACAACTTTTATTCTGTCATTCTCATTCAATAATTTTTTGCCTTTAAAAGTTCTTTATGAGAAGATATGTAATCTTTAACTTTATCAATATTATTCAAGATATATAAATGTGCTTATTGTAATTCATCTTGATTCATGCTCTTCACTGATACTCCACGTGTGCCTTGACTATATTGCCTTTTCTCATGACGAGATTTAGGAAGTCTAATTGATTCTATACTTGACAAGTAATCAGAACAAAACTCCATAGCTTCTTCAACAACATATTTCTCAACTATTGATGCTTCGGGTCAAAATGGATTTCTGACATACCCTTTCAGTATTTTCATGTATCTCTCAACTGGGTACATCCATCGCAAATAAACATGGCCATACAATTTTACCTCCCTTACTAGATGCACTATTAAGTGAACCATAATGTCAAAAAATGTAGGAAGAAAGTGCATCTCAAGTTGGCACAAGATAGTACAAGCTTCTTGTTCTAACTCTTCCAGGGTAATAGCTGTTGCATCAAGACATGACAATCATGAGATTTTAAGCCTACCAGTTTCAACTCTTTCACAGATACAAGCTTCATAATATTTGAAGAATACCCCGAAGGAACTTTGATTCCATGTAAACACTCACAAAAACTTATTTTCTCATATTTGCATAATGTATGAGAGGCTGGGGGACAATAAGTTCGTTTACCTTCTGGTCTTAGGTGTAAGTCTTCCCGTATTCCCATTTCTTTCAAATCTAATCTTGCATTCACACCATCCTTATTCTTACCTGGTATGTTTAGAAGCGTTCCAATAATACTATCACACACATTTTTCTCCACATGCATAACATCAATACAATGCC